AGTGGCTCAGATGGTTGAGGGTCCAACTTGTGACCTGTGAGTTCCAGCCCCTTGTTGGGCTCTGTGCTGACAGCTGGGAGCCCGGAGCCTGCTTCGGATTCCGTGTCTCCCTCTCTCTCTCTCTCCCCCTCCCCTGCTCACACTCTGTCTCTCTCTCAAAAATAAATAAACATTAAAAAATTTTTTTTTGAAAAATAAAAAAAAAAATGAGGGAGTTGAACCAGATGAACTCTAAACTCATCTCTGATTCTAATTTCGTTGGCCTCTAAATTCCTCTAAAAGCAAACGAGAAGAAAGGTCTTCTGGTGGCATTATGTGGAATTCCATTTTGCTTCTTTGCGACCAAGCTCGTGTTTATGGATATACAAGTGCAGTCACCTGTGAATAATTCTCTTTCTTTTCTTGGATAGCTTATTGTATTTCGTTTCAAATTCATTCTTGCATATGGTATGCTTGACACCTCAAAGAAAATTGGTTTACAGTCTGTGCTTGGCTCACATCTGAGGCAAAGAGAAATTCACTTTAATGTCCTTTATTCTCAGCATTAAGAAGCTAAACCACACTGTCTTCGAACATTATAGCCATCCTACTCAGAAAAGAAGATGTTTTCTCCTGGATTCGTGGTGAGTGAGTGCTAATGCTTCATCAGAAACAAGCTATCCTACTATATACTATAAAAGACCTGCCCCCAAATAAACTTTTACCCATTTTCAGGAATGAAAAAAAAAAAAAAATCCAAGCTTCAGGGAAGATAAGGTCTTGAAATCTGACAGTTTCCAGATAATGTTAGAATACGATTGCAAGAAAAATGACATGAGATGTACATTAACATAAATCTATAACTGCTCAACTTGGTGAAAAATATCACCATAAAATTCTGTCATTGCTGAACCTCCCGATATTTTTGTGACTTTTCTGTGACATTTTGTGAGAATGAATAAATTATCTGAGAGTGTGTTTGCATCAAAGATACAGAATTTTGTAACAAACACATAAATCATTCAAGCGTTCTCCAGCAAGGTGTCTGATCCTAAAACTGGGGGGCATTCACATTAATTTCATCCCTCTGGGCGTTTTTGGGTATGGTTCCGTAGAGCTCGGTGCGGTAGTGGAGAGCCATCCATTAGGGACGTGAAGGAAAAGAGGATGTGAAGGGAATAACTCTACCCGGAGAAGTTTTCCACGGAATCTCCCCCCTTGTCCTTATACGCCTCAAGTCTGGGACCTCTGCTTTCCCTGACATCCTGTATGCAGTCTACGCGGGGGTCTCCTTTCCAAAATTTGTCCTATTTTTGCAGCCACGGTCCCCGTAAGTCAGCCTACTTTCCCTATAAAATTGACAGCACTGACATAACTCTGAAAGTGATGTCCTTATTGTGTTTTCTTAGAAATTAGTTTGCTTTTCTATTGTGGGCAATTAATATCACATAAAGAAGCATGATCCCCTTTTTTGCTTAGACTCCCAGAAAGCTGAGAGGCAAGCCGGTGGTTTAATTTTAATAGAATGCTGTGATGTGTATCTGAGGATACTGAATTTTATCTTTTTTTTCAATTTTTGAGAGAGACAGAGAGAGAGAGACAGAGAGAGAGAGTGCTTGAGGGGGGAGGCGCAGAGAGAGAGAGAAGGGGACAGAGGATCTGAAGCCGGCTCTGTGCTGACGACAGAGAGCCTGATGTGGGGCTCGAACCCACGAACCGGGAGGTCGTGACCTGAGCCAAAGATGGACGCTCAACCAATTGGGCCACCCAGGTGCCTCCTGGATTTTATCTTTATCTTCGCGTTATAGACTACCTAGACTTTTCCCTAGGATTTTATTTTTATTAAATTCTTTTTTACTATGTAAGTTTTTGTTAACTACCCCCCAATATCTTTGTGAGCTCAGGCCAAGTATAGATAAATATATGCATGGGTGGTTGCAATAGTGTGATTTAAAAAAAAAAAAAACAACGTTTGTTTGAGGGGCGCCTGGGTGGCTCAGTCGGTTAAGCGGTCCAACTTCAGCTCAGGTCATGATCTCACGGTTCGTGGGTTCGAGCCCCGCATCGGGCTCTGTGCTGACAGCTCAGAGCCTGGAGCCTGCTTCCGATTCTGTGTCTCCTTCTCTCTCTGCCCCTCCCCTGCTCACGCTCTGTCTCTCTCTGTCTCTCAAAAATAAATAAATGTTAAAAAAGAAAAAATACAAACGTTTGTTTGAGAGAGAGAAAGAGAGTGCATGCACAAGCTCTGGGGAGGAGCAGAGAGAGAGGGAGAGAGAGCGAATCCCAAGCAGGCTCAAAACCGTCGGGTGGAGTCCAATGCGGGACACCATGTCACAAACTATGAGGTCACGACCTGAGCCAAAATCAACCTGAGCCAAAATCAAGAGTCAGACCCTTAACCAACTGAGCCACCATGCACCCCGCAGTATTATGATATTATCATTAGAAATATGTATTTGGTCCTTGTCCCCAGGATTCTGGCACAGAGCGCATAAACCCGTTGGAATTTCCTAAGTTCTGAGAACTCTAGTAACATTTCTTTCCTTATGTTAAGGAGGTGACTCTTGGACTGCCCCCGAAGATGGTTCCAGAGGGTAGCCCACCATGTGACTTGAGGGCTGGAACTTTCAGTACCTCCCACACCCACCACAGGAAGCGGGGAGGAGATTGAGTCTGAGTTCACTCACCAATGCCTAGTGATTGGTCAATCATGCCAATGTCATGAAGCCCCCATAAAAAACCGAAAAGGATGGGGTTCGGAGAACTTTGGGGTGGAGGTAAACCCATGGCAGCACCACATGCCCTCCCACATGTCGTATCCTGTGCAAGTCTTTTATCTGGCTGTCACTGACTCATGTCCCTTTATTACAGACTGTAATCTACTGAGTAAAATGTTGCTCTGAGTTCCATGAGCCTCTCTAGCAAATTCATGCAACTTAAGAAGGCGGGGGGGGGGGGTGGTCATCGGAACCTCCAGTCTATTGGTCTGTGAGGAGCATAGGTGACAACCTGGGCTTGTGACTGGCATCTGAAGTCGGGGTGGTCTCACAGGCCCGAGCCCCTAACTTGTGGAATCTGATGCTGCCTCTGGGTGGTGGTGCCTCTTGGATTGAGTCAGAGACCCCGCTGGTGCCTGAGAACTGCTTGGTGGCATGGGGACAAATGCTCCCCACAACCCACTTGTTGCAATGGAGATTCAAAGCGTGTTCATAGGCAAACAGACCTGCTGATGTTTGGAATAATGGCCAAAGAAGGTTCTGCCATCACAGAAGTGAAGTTGGATGTCTCTAGTGAACTGTAACCAAGAAAGGAATTTTGAGGTCCATTTCTTTGCTCTCTCCCCAGGACTCATTTCTCAGTAACGCCTATGAAGGGTCTAGTGCGATGTGGAACGTTTGTATAGCAAATGATTACAGTCTGATCCGGGAGCCCTGTGTGCTCTGGTCCCTTTCTCTGTCAAGAGGTGTGAAAATATTTTGTCCACACAATTCGCCTGCTGTCTCTAGGGACTGAAATACGTCAGTTCAGGGAGAAGAGCTCTGAATCAAGTGCTGTGCACGTTGAAGGTCCTGACGTTTTTAAGGACTAAGGAGGCACTGATGTGGAAGCTCCTCTGTTGTGGGAGTGTAGGACTGAAAGGGGTCTGTCAGGCTGTGCAGGATGGAGAGGAGAGAAGGACTAGGGAACAGCTATTGTTTTCTGCCTCCGTTCATGCTACTGAATTGGAATGGTCATGAAACTTCTGCCCGCTTCACATTTTAAAGAGGAGGGTAGTAAGACCCAGAAAGGTTAGATGACTTACTTAAGGCCACACAGCAAGGGAGTGGCAGAGCCTGTGTTTTTGCTACTTCAGTTGCTCCTTTCCCCACGCTTCCTGTTGTGGGTATTTTCTCTGTGCCCATTCACCCTCTTCCTTCTCTGTCCTACCCACTTCACCTCCATCCTTGGGGACCAACCAGCATTGATCACGTGTCGGCTGCCCTGCCCTCTCTTTCTGGTTGGGTTCAGCCATTGGGAAGTCCCCACAAGAATTCAGGGAGAGGGAGGTTGGGCATGCGTTCCTTTAAATTCCCTCCCACGAGGCTCAGTTGGGCCGGTGGTGTCCCTCAGCTGATGGTCACTGCTCCTCTCAAGGTGGCTTCCTTCTTCTGTTTTCCTGTAACTGTCCTCTCATCCCTCTGGGCCTAGGGATGGTGACAATGCCCCTGCGATTAGCCCCAGTTCCCACATCATCCCTATACCCCACGCACCTCAGTAAATAGTTCCTTTGTAAATAAACTTACTTCAATTATCCTCATTTGGGTGTGCCATCTGTTTCCTGTTGGGGCCCTAACTGTTACACCTTCCCATGAAAGAAACTGTGATGTTAATAATATGTTAGAGAATATAGCATTAGACACACAAAAGATGAGTTTGGTACCTCTCAAGTACTGGGAAGTGTAAATCATGGAATTGTCTTCGTTCCCAGTTGGACATTGTGAGAGAAGACAGAGGCATAGGGAAAATGATGAGAGAAGCTATAATGTGTATGATCCAATTAAATTTCTTTGGCTGTCCTCCATGTGTGCTTCCGGCACTGCTGAAATTGATTATTTCCTTTCAGCTTCCTACCTGTATCTTCATCTCCAAATTGAGTTGCTTTGCCTAAAGCTTTAAAATCTGTTTTCATATGAATTAATCAACGTTTTAAAATTAGATTTCTAGCTTGTGATTTTACTGGGGATATGCTTGGAGAAATAACTTAGTTATATATTTAATGCAACCCATATGTTTCAAGGCAATTCCTTCCTGAGACCGCACAACCACGGAATATGAATTTTCACAATCAATTTCTTCATCAATCAGGTATGGCGGTAAAAAGGCGTCGGGTGGGTGAGGGTCTTTCTGAAATTAGTTATTTCATGAAGGATGGTCCGACAGATCACGTTGTTGAAGCTAACCTGTGACCGCCAGCAAAACGCAAGAGGAACTTGGGAGCAAAGAAATATGCTTGTGTTTCAAACTTCGTGACTTGACCTTACCTTTAACGTGTTGGCTTCTGGAATCCTTGGAAATTTGCTTGTTCACCTGTAGAAGGCAACATGGCACCATTATCTCTTCAGTTGTGGCTAAGATAACATCTAATGTGTTGCCAGATGTGTAGATTCCCATAGGGTCAAGGCATAAATTCCTGGATTCACCATTCTTAGAGATCACCATATGTATAGGGTAATACATGTAAATACATGTAAATATGTGTGCCGCTGTGCCCGTGACCAGTGTAGTGGCCTCAGGTGGTATCTGGCCTAAAAATACTTGGGTTTGAGATCCAGTCCTGCCTCTTGTTGCCGTGAAGCTGTGGAAAGGCATTAGCCATATTATGAAAGGGATCAAGCAAGCAGATGTGAGCGTGGCTTTGTGTGGATGTCCGTACTGGGATTTCACCTTCATCATATGCTGGCTGTGAGGACGTGGCAAGTCACTTGACCTTCTGAGCCTCAGTTTCCTCATCTGTGAAATTAAGGTAACAAAAGTACTGATACCTGACGAGAATGGGACGATTACGTGAGACACCCCATGTGATGTGCCCGGAACAGAAGATGGCACCAATAAAAGCTTAATAATTGTTAGCTTTTCAAAGATATTTAAATAGTTGTTAGCTTTCATTATTAAAAATTTTAAAGGCTTTGGTGAACCATTAAGGGCTCTACAACTGCTAGACATGAGGGTGAGGAAGGGAAAAATGAAAATATAATTATGCCCAGTGTTTTGAAAGCCTTGAAGCCCAGGTCAGTAGTGGGGTCTATGATGGTTAATAATATGTGGCAACTTGACAGGGCCACAGGGTGCCCAGACAACTGGTTAAATAGCATTTCCGGGGTGTCTGTGAAGGTGTTTCCGGATAAGATTACCATTTGAGTCAGCAGACTACGGCAGATCGCCCTGCCCAGTGTGGGTGCGCATCAGTTAATCAGTTGGGGCCTGTATAGAATAAAAAGGCAGAAGGAAGGAGAATTTTGTCTTTGTACCTGACTGTTGAGCTGAGATATTGGTCTTCTGCCCTAGACTGATATTTACATCATTGGTTCTCTTGGTTCTCAGGCCTTGAACTCAGACTAGAACTTACACCACTGGCTTTTCTGGAGCTCTAGCTTTCAGAAGGCAGATAATGGGACTGAGCCTCCATGATCACTACTTTATGTCTAGTCTTTGTCTATTATCTATCTATCTATCTATATCTATATCTATCTATCTCTACCTATCTATCATCTATTATCTATCTATCATCTATCTATATCTATCTCTACCTTTCTATCATCTAGTTATCATCTATCTATCTATCTATCCATCTATCATGTATCTATATCTATTGCTATCTTTCTATCATCTATCATCTATCATCTATCTATATCTGTCTCTATCTTTCTATCATCTATCTATTATCTATCTGTCTATCCATCTATCATCTCTATTATTTATCTATCTCTCTATCAATCATCATCATCATCTGTCTACTATGTCCTATGTTTCTAGAGGAACCTGGCTAATACAGGGTCTTAGTATTACTTTCTTTTGGCATCAAGTTGAGGTAGCCAAGGTGGATGGGGTGGGGGAAGGCTCATTGAATCCCCTGTTACTTCTTACCCTCTGATATTCAATGTCTACTTTTCCTCCGTGCAACGCTGAACCACAGTATATGCCTGGAAAGTGTGTGGTCCTTCTGCTGGCCAGTGTAGTAAGAGCTGAGTGTCATTTGGATTTTGCTATTGATATGGCCTCCTTCACTCCATCATCCATAAGCTTCCTATTCCTTCAGGGTCACCCTGTGGCAGCTCAGGTGCTGAGTGGGTTTTTCAGCGTTGCACCCTCAGCTTTCAATCTCCCCTGCGTGCCTGCCTTACAGAGGGGGTCTCTCAATACTTTTGCCCACTTGCCATTGCTAGCCGGGTCATGGGTATGGGAGAGGTTCTCTGTTGTCTCTGTCTTAGGTGGCCCTGCGTGCTTCTGGTCTTAGGGATGGGGCTTCCTTAGTATTCCTGCACTTTCTCCCTTTGGTGGCCAAATTAATTTTGTGGCTTTGGACATTTCGATCCACTTTGCACGAGACGGTTTCTTTGCCTTGCATCTCCCCCAGCAGTGAGTGCCTTCTGATGGAATTAGTATAGGATTCCAGGGCCAGGAATATTTTCTGCCCCTCCCTAGGGGCTCCTCCCATTTTCCTATCAGATAAATATGTATTAGTGCCTACTATAAACCTGCATCGATGCTAGATTATGAGGGAAAAAGAGGAATAAAGGTTCTAAAGGACTCATCCATGCACATAGGTCTGAGTTCACAACATATTATAACGTATTATATCACAGGTTTAATTATAACACGGATTTCCCAACTTCAGCACCATTGAGAGTTGGCGCTGGATAATTCCTTGCTGTGGGTAATTCCTATGTAATGTAGGATGCTTAGCAGATCCCTGTTCTTTACCATTAGATGTCAGTAGCATTCCTCCCGTCTGGACAACCTACCTGTCCCTGGACACTGCCTGGTGTTCCCTAGGGGGCAAAATGGTCCCTGATGAGAACCACTGATGACCATGCAATGTGTCAAATACTGCTGTGCGTTGCTTCCTCCAGAAGGCTTCTCAAAAGCCTCTAGCTGGGCTAAGTGTTGTGGATTCTTTGAACCACACTCACCTCGGTCTTAGCATTTGACATTACGTTGGGAATGTTGGAACTGCCAGTTTGGGTCACTGCCTCCCCCATTAGATGGTGAGCACTGGTTCATACATCCCCATTGTAGAACACAGTGCTTGGTACACAGCAAATGCTCAACAAATGGAAGCATGAGCAGCGGCTTAGTGGTTTAAGACAGTTGTAGCTAGGAACTGGCCTCTGTCAGGATTATTGAAGATCCCTTTCACAGATAGTTTAATCTTAACATAAATGTGCAGAACTAGTAAGAAATAATTCTTGAGAATGAGGCTATAATGAAAAATGTAATCTGCTTCTCATAAAAACGTGATTACTCAAGCATTGATTATAGAAGTAAAATTCCCTCCTTATCTGAACTGAGGCCAAGTCCTGACTTAATTTATAAGACACCCCCCCCCCCCCACCGCCCCGGTCAAGTGTGCTGATCTCCCGTATCCTTTTCCTCACATGCTTTTGCTTGACTCGATATGTGGAGATGATAGTTCCACTTGCGAAGTGATGTAGCTAAAGGAAGAAATCTGTATTGTAACAGAAAGCTACCAAGATATTATGAAGGAATTATGCGGTAATAAGAATGGAACCTCAAATTCTGGCATAGTGGGTTTAAAAACTCCCACGAGAATTATCTTACAATTTTTTTCTTCTCATCAAGGCATACTTACATATAAAGGGGAATGTATCAGTGATTTTTGGGGGGAAAGGGAAGCTCAGCTTTTTATGTGAACATTCTCCATTCTTTCATAACCAGACCAGAATCTGTGTCGTCAGCCCTTGGTCCAGTTGCTCTAAAATTCTTACTGTTCTCTGAATGTGCTTTGTGCCTGAAACGTCTTCCTCCCTGTCAAACAGCCCCTTTGCGGCTGCCCCAGTGGCAGATCTTGCTGATAGCAGCAAACATTCACCTGAGAACTTTGAAGACCAGGCTGAAAAAGGGGTTCCATGTGCACAGAAGTCCAGCCTGGGTCTCTTTGTTTATGAAACGGCTACTCCTATTTCAAGATTCCCTTCAAAAGATTGAGGATCCATTTGTGCATTCATTTTCCTCCATGTAACCAATATCTCTTGGGATCCTCTTACAAAATGGTACTGTGCCGGATGCTGGGGCCAAAATGTTTCCGGTACCTCAAGGAGCTGGTATCTAGTGACTGGCAGCTTCATGCTAGACACTGTGCTCTGTATGGACTATCGTAATAGTGATGAGATTTTATAGCCAAGATAATAAATGCTCCCAGAGGGTAAGTGGCACAAAGAGCTCATAAAAGTTGGAGCTGATAGAATAGGGCTTAGAAGGCTCACCTTGCAAGGGTATTTTAAGGATTAAGTGTCATTCATTCATTCTTGTCTCTGTTCGGGAACACCTTCCTTGACTCCCCTTACCCTGCTTTAATCGTTTTTTTTTTTTTTCAAAGCACTATTACTTAACATATTGCCTATTATTTGTTTATTTGTTTATTACCAGTCTCCTCCCACCAGTATGTAAGTTTCATGAGCGCAGGGCTTTGGTTATTTACCAATGCATACCAGAGGTTATCACTGTGTCTGGTCCGTGGCAGACACACAACACATATTTCTTGAATGAATTTGTTGAATGAATGATTAAAATTCAGCTTTGTGCCTGTGTAAGGCAGAAGTGTTCAATATTTCATCCCTCTTCTTGCTCTCCCAAAGTCTACTGGATGTGCTCTGGGTAAATGGCATGGCGTGGTAATATTTGTACTTTCTCTTGCTTATCAATATTAACAGAAGCCCTCAAGTTAAATAGATAGACAGTGTGAACAAATAATGCACAAGGAAGAATGCGCCATAAATATTTAAAAGCATGCTCGCATTCACTAATAAACGTGGTACAAATGAAAAAAGAACAGAACACTGAAGTCCCTTTAAAATATGATTAGTAAAGTAATAGCCAGTTTTGGTGGGAGTCCTGTGAGGTGCACATTCTCATATCGGGCTTTTGGGAGGGTCAGTTGAAACCATTTTTCAGGAAAGAAATTTCATCACGTGTACCAAAGCCTTTAAAATGTTTTCACTCAATGGTTAAGTACAATAATTAAAAATCCCATAATGGGGTATGATATATCTCAAAAGATTATGCTGTTAATACTTGATTATCACATGGGAAATTATTTTATAACCAGAACTTGATAGGAAAAGGAAAAAAGGCAGATATTCTACGCAGGGACTCTCTTGCATGGAATATATCTGCCCAGAGAATACGGACATGAAATCTAACACGGTGCCATGACTGATTGCCCTGCAACTCCATGGGTGATTCATTCGTATTTTATGTATTTCTGCATTAAGGAAAGAAGCATTAGCAAAAGCATTATTAAAAATGAAATTCTAGGGGCGCCTGGGTGGCTCAGTCGGTTGAGCGACTGACTTCAGCTCAGGTCATGATCTCACGGTTTGTGAGTTCGAGCTCCACGTCTGGCTCTGTGCTGACAGCTTGGAGCCTGGAGCCTGCTTTGGATTCTGTGTCTCCCTCTCTCTCTGCCCCTCCCCCACTCATGTTCTGTCTCTCTCTGTCTCAGAAATAAACATTAAAAAATTTTTAATAAAAAAATAATAAAAATGAAATTCTATATATGTGTGTAGAGCATTTGTATTTACAGGATTTTTTTTCATGGATTTCTTGTTTGTGGTTTCCAAACAGACTTTTGAAGTAAAGCACAGTAGGGATTTTTATTCCTGTTTAATGCACGAGGTCACAAAGGGGCTCAGAGACGTTTGACTTACTTCTTACCGCTCACTTACCAGCAGGCAACATCAGGCCTGCAATCTGGGCAAAATGATATATTATTATTAACAAGATCTGATTTCAAACTCTGCTTCTGGAAAAGGGGACCAGCATCAGGGGACGAGCGATGCCTGTGAAAATTCCTCACCCTGATGCCTCACAGAAAACCTTCCCAGGTGCAAGTTCTCTTCCCTTCTTGGTGCTCATTCCCCAGGACCATGATCTCAGCAGGGGTCTGAGCCGGTTCCCCTGCACCTCACTGAGCCCGCTTTGCTCATCACCTCACAAGATGCCTTGGGAATGAGTGATGGGGACGCCCCTGGCTGCCAGGAATTGCCCTGCCCACGTTTGGTTCACACAGTCAAGCCTTTACTCACTTCTTCCAGCCCCATCCGTGTGTGCCAGTGTTGGCCCTCCATGGGGACGGAGGGCTGGGCGTCCAAGGAAAAGGGAGTGTCCATCATATCCTTGAAATAGCGCGTATCTGTGAAAAGAGAAAAATTCAAAGTCATACCCTAGGTAGACTCAGCACATCGCAATTTACAAAATACGTGCGCATTGACAAATGTGTTGAATGCCTACGACCTAGGCATGAGGAAAGAAGTTCTTCCCCTGGGTAGATTAGGAGACCGAAGCCTGAGGAGGAGGAGGGTGTGGTCCAAAGTCCAGAGTCTGGACTTGAACACCCTTCACTGTCTCAGCCCCTGGAAACTCCTGCTCTCCCTTCGAGCTCTGTGTTGTGTCATGACCTTCGCAAATCTTCCCGGATCCCACCCACCAACACCCCGCCCCTCATTTCTCCTTTCTATATTATACACCTCACCCTTTCATATTTATCTGTTGGTCTTTCTGCATCTGCCTCTAGGCTGTGACCTTCCTGAGAGTGTGGATCATGCTTTGTCTTTGTGTCACGTGAGCCTTCCTAACACGGTAACTGCACCCTGCAGATACGCACTCAGTAATCGCTTGTTGAGTGGATGGAAAAAAAAGGGGTTTCATCGCTATTTCCAAGGTGGTTCTTTCCAGAGGAGCTTCTGTAGACTCTTTTCCGTGGGCCGGGCCCTCAGAAATCACAAGTACTTCCTCTTTTCCCTTACAGCCCTGCGCTATATCCACGATTCAGAGAGCTTGCGAAGGCCACCCGGGGTGCCCCAGTTAGAAAGGCGCAAGGGTGGATGGGAAATTATGTCTTCCTTACTCTTAAAAAGCTGAGCTCTGCTGCTAGGTCCTGGTGCTACGTCTACGCTGGCTACCTGCAAAACGAGTCAACCAAGTTCAAAATCCTTCCCTTTCGCGCTGCTGCTCATTACGCAAGCTCTGTGTTAACACTTCCCATGCCGCCCACGGCCCTGCCTGTCCACCCTCTCCCTGCTGTGCTCATCCATTGTTCCCAGGACTCAAAAAGAGCATCTTGATAATAACAACCAATAGCTATAGAGCTCTGACTCTGTGCCCCTGGTGAGAACTCGAAAGAACCCTTGGAGGGTAAGTTGTGTTACCACAAACACTACTTTCAGGTAGAGAGAATGGTTTCTATAGGCTCGCTCGAGGTCCCACAGTTAGGAAGCCACGGAGGCAGGATTTTCATAGAGTGGTTTCATTCAGAATCGGCTCTAATTACTGTGCCGCGTCGCATCATGGACGTGCATTCTTGGACTTTAGGCCCCAGATGTTACCTGCATATTCAGATTCCTTTATAGGCCTGGCTGGTAAAATTTTTATCGTTCGCCATGCCTCTTCCATACGAAGTTCTGGGTCTTCATAGTCGCCATCTCTGAGGTCTTTTGCTCCCTCCAGGCCCGTTGCAGCAGAGTTTCTTTCCTACGCAGGAGGGAACATTTGAGTAAGTCAAGAGAAGGTACGGTCGTGACAAAGGTTCCAGGCTGCGGTGCTAGCGAGGGGAGTGGTACAGATTCTCTGAGCTGGGGGTGAAACATTTCAGAGGCTGGGGTCTGGGGCAGTTAAAGTCTCGTGGTAGGCAGAATCCTGAAGATGTCCTCACATATTCCCATCCTTGGTTATTCAATCAAAGAATCTGGGGGCTGCTGTGAAGGGACACTGAGGGTGCAATTAAGATGTCTAACCAGCTGTCTTCAAAATAGGAAGATTGTCCTGAAGCACCTGAGTGGCCCGATGGTAATCACACGAGCCCCTCCAAGCAGAAAAGGGATCTACTTGCAGGTGATATGATCTTGTATGTGGAAAATTCCAAGGAACCCACTAAAAAATTATTAGAGCCAAGAAGCAATTCAGCAAGGTGTCAGGATACACGATCAACACACAAGTTTCAGTTGTATTTCTACACAGTAGTAATGAGCTCCGAGTCTGAACACTGGGGATGGCAGGATGGGGTACCCCTTGGCAAGAGATGTAATTGTCCTCAAAGAAATTCTGGAATCTGCACCTGTGTGTTGGGACCTGAATTCAGCACTGTGCCGTGTCTCAGCCCGGACACTAATCTCCGTGGTCTTTCATACAGTAAGATCCCTCGTTCCACTCAGACTCCAAATGGCTATGACTATGAATAATAGGTCCCGTTACGAGAGATTTTCATGCACAGCCCCCAGCGCAGCCCTCAAATGTGAGAGCCTATATCTTTCTTTTACATATATAGAAACTGGGAATGGTGGCTTCTGAAAGCCACACACAGGTCCTCGGTGCCATCGCTGGGCAGTGCTAGGTCTTTGAGCACATCCACACCGGAACCCGACACCAGGTATTCAAATCGTTCTGAGCCCGAGATGAAGGGCGAAGAATCTGGGGCATTCCTTGTGTCGCCACACCCATGATTCTGCCTTTGAACCAGTTAGCGCCATGGCGAACCGTGGGAGCCTGGGCTCAGATCCTGAGTTTGTTAAGTTTCTTTGTTACCCTGGAGAGAGCCTTTCTTCCCAGCCAATCTCTGCCACACTATGTGACTTGGGCAGCACACTAACTTTCTCTGGACTCCCAATTACTTTGTAGTCAAAGATTAAAGACTTAAAGTTCCTGCTTTATAGTTTAACTATATCTGGCTTTCTTTTCTTTTCCTTTCTTCTTTCTTTCTTTCTTTCTTTCTTTCTTTCTTTCTTTCTTTCATCTTCCTTTCTTTTTTTCTTTCTTTTGCACATAGTAGATTCTTCATATAGGCTTATTAACTAAGCAGGTACATAAAATAACAGATTTTACCTAGATTTAGGGTGTAATTATTTCTTGAGTATGATTTAAAATTTTTCATTGATACTGTAATTTCTCCAGTGACCGAGACATCTTTGTTAGAGGCCACTTCAAATTTATGTTTGAATGAGATGATTCTCTACACACCCACGAATACAAGTGCCCATAGTTATAGAGTGACTTTGGCAACTAGAAGTTAAATGAGACAAAGCAGGTAAAATTTTGAGCAAAATGCTGGGTGGTCAGCACTCACTCAGTAAATAGTAGCTATAGGGGCGCCTGGGTGGCTCAGTCGACTTCGGCTCAGGTTGTGATCTCACTGCTCGTGGGTTTGAGCCCCGCGTCAGGCTCTGTGCTGACAGCTCGGAGTCTAGAGCCTGCTTCGGATTCTATGTCTCCCTCCCTCTCTCTCTCTCTCTCTCTCTCTCTGCCCCTCCCCTTCTCATGCTCTGTCTCTCTCTCAAAAATAAACACTAAAAATTAAGAAAAATAAATAGTAGTTATAAATATTTCTGTGACTGCCATATAATAATGGCAATTGAAGAAATTCAGAGATAAAGCAAGGCCACCAGTTCTCCTCCTAAAGCCTCTCTAACATTTGTTGAGGGATGTATATGTGCTAGGCACTTTATGTACTTTGTTTTGTTATATAAGTACAACAATCCAGGGGGTGGTTTTATTATAGTGGACGGACATGGAATTAGAAGCTTGCATTTTATTTATTTATACATATTTTTAAGATTTTTTAAATGTTTACTTATTTTTTTTTTTAATTTTTTTTTCAACGTTTATTTATTTTTGGGACAGAGAGAGACAGAGCATGAACGGGGGAGGGGCAGAGAGAGAGGGAGACACAGAATCGGAAACAGGCTCCAGGCTCTGAGCCATCAGCCCAGAGCCTGACGTGGGGCTCGAACCCACGGACCGCGAGATCGTGACCTGGCTGAAGACGGACGCTTAACCGACTGCGCCACCCAGGCGCCCCCTATTTTTGAGAGAGAGAGAGAGAGAGAGAGAGAGAGAGCAAACAGGGAAGGAGTGGAGAGAGAAGGAGACACAGAATCCGAAGCAGGCTCCAGGCTCTGAGCTGTCAGCACAGGGCCTGACGCGGGGCTTGAACTCACAACCTCAAGATCATGACCCGAGCCGAAGTCGATGGCCAACAGACTGAGCCACTCAGGCGCCCCTAGAGGCTTGCGTTTTGAATTCCATCTCTTATTATTCCAGTTCTCTGGCTGCTTACCAGCCCCAAGCCAAGTGTATGACTTCTGCTGTCATTGCTCTATCAAAGCAGTTTGGTAAAAGTAAAGACGATGTCCAAGATGGGCCCGATCTTCGGCCAAGCGGCAGTGCCGTGGGGACTCACCAGGCCCTTGTCTGGAAGGCTTTTGGGGCTCTACTTCGAAACTGCTTGTTTGATGCGAGGGTGCAGAATGCAATTTAGTAAGTCTGTGTTCTCCCCAGGACGGAGCAAAGAAGGAGGTGAGCTCCCTGAAGACACAGTGTGCTGTCCTTGATTCCCACCCGGCGCTCCTAGAAGGAGAGTGAGGCTTGAGTCCTGCAAGAACTGAGGACTCGGGCAAGTTATGAAGTTATAACATTCAAGGAGCTCAGGTTCAAGAGACCAGGGACCAGCACAGTGACCTGGGAGCAGGAACAGGATAGAAGTGGAGAGCTTGGTGACCCAAAGGAAAGAGGTGAAGTCACTGAGCTTAGTTCGAGTGGGGCCGTTTGCACGGTTGTATTGATACTGTGCCCCTAGCAACCAGGCATTACAGCTATGAAACCCCGCCTCCTTGGTCTGGTCTCTGGAGGCAAGCAGGGCTTAGACTGGGAATTCTTGGATGGGGAAACCAGGGAGGACTGGTCTGCCCCGGGGACAGCATGGACCCAGGATGGAGCCACCCACTTCCAGATCTAAACTGTGGGCTCACTTTATGACCGGGGGGAGGTTTACTTAACCCCCCTGACTCGCATGCTCAATCTGTAAATTGGAGATCTACGAGTAGGCTAAACCTACTTTATTTGATTGTAGTCAGAGATTAATTGGGTAAAAAGTATATAAAGATTCTACTTTGACACCTGCCTATGACAGGAGCTCAGGACACGGTAGATCCCTTTCCTCTAGATGATGTAATGCGTTTCAGTAGAGCGGAGCACCCAGGGCAAAGCAAAGCTGACAGGAGGGGACCCCAAGGGGATGTCCCAAGTGACCCGGCTACGCGGGGGGGGGGTGGGGGTGGGGTGGGGGAGGTGGCTGAGATGTTCTCCCCGGGAAGTGAATACAGAGGTGAGTTCTGAACTGAAGCAACCTCTTTAGGGATTTGACCGCTGGACATTTGTTGCAAGGGCATCACTTGTATACTGTTATGGCAACCACCAAGACCTCTTTGGGAAATCTTGGATCGTCCTGCTGAAAGAATCTGAGACAGGGCCCGTCTTTAATCTAGTTGCCTTGCCAGACTTTGAGGGGCAGGGCACAGAGGGACACCAGGAGGGACAGTAACCATCCATGCCAGACCCGGAGAATCTTGCTCCCAGAACCAAATGCAAATATTTTGGTTTATCTCTTTCCGGAATGAGAAAGAGGCAGAATTTTATATTTTATTTTATTTTATGTTATGTTATGTTATGTTATGTTATGTTATGTTATGTTATGTTATTTTATTTTATTTTATCTTATCTTATTTTATCTTATTTTATTATTTATTTTAATTTAACTTTATTTATTTTTAAATGTTTATTTTGAGAGAGAGAGAGCATGTGTGCAAGCAGGAGAGGGGCAGAGAGAGAGAGAGGGAGAGAGAGAATCCCCAGTAGGCTCCATGCTTAGTGGGGAGCCTGACTCGGGGCTTGGTCCCCCCTGGCCATGGGATCATGACCTGAGTCTAAATCGAGAGTTAGATGCTTAACTGAGTGAGCCATCCAGGCGCCTTAGAATTTTATTTTAAATATAATGAGTTACATCTATTTATCCATTAATCTGTCTACTATCTATCTACTGCCAATCGCAAGGGATCTTTACTAAAAACTCCTGTTTTCCATCCATAAACCTCCTACTTTGTAAAATATTTTGTGATTGATTGATTGATATTGTGTGTGTGTGTGTGTGTGTGTGTGTGTGTCCTGGGGTGACCATCCATAGCTTCAATTTGATCCTTAAAAAAGTATTTCAAACAATAAAGAACCAAAGATTTTACAGGCAGATTCTCTCTCTCTTTCTGTCTCTCATCTATCTCTACCTAGTCCATATATCCTATCTACAGATATAACATATCTATCTCTAGATATGTTAGTTAGAACTATTTAAATTATATACAATTTGGAGTGCCTGGGTGGCTCGGTCAGTTGAGCGTCCCACTTTGGCACAGGTCATGATCTCACGGTTTGTGAATTCAAGCCCTGCATTGGGCTCTGTGCGGACAGCTCAGAGCCTGGAGCCTGCTTCGGATTCTGTGTCTCCCTCTCTCTGTGCCCCTCCCCCACTCACTCTCTGTCTCTCTCTGTTTCTCAAAAATAAACATTAAAAAAAATTAAAAAATTAATTATATACACTTTAACAATAAAATTATTTATAACATTAGATAGCTGAGTTCATGTTATAAATTTGAAATTTTATTCCATTATGAGACTGCTTTGTAAATATTCTTAATGGCTTCATAATATGAATATGTCATAATATATTCAATGTTTTTTTTTCCTATCGAATATTTAGAACGATTCCAGGGTTTCCATTAAAATTATTTTTTATGTTTATTTATTTCTGAGAGAGAGAGAGAGAGAGCAGGAGAAGGGCAGAGAGAGAGGGAGACACAGAATCTGAAGCAGGCTCCAGGCTCCGAGCTGTCAGCACAGAGCCCGACACGGGGCTTGAACCCAGGAACTGCGAGACCACGACCTGAGCTCAAGTCGGAAGCTCAACCGACTGGGCCACCCAGGCGCCCCATGTTGTTGTTTTTAAATTCGCCAAGTCCCTTGGTTGACAAAAAGCCACTCGCTTTGTAAATTTCAAAGACCAACAAGCAGGTAGGGGAGGTGGCTACTTACACAGGGAGGAGGCTCCTCAGTATTCAGGTACTGGCCTGCCAACAAAAGTAGACCCAACATTACTGCAAAACACAGAAAAGAGCGGCCCTTGTGTTTCTCCAGAAATCTTGGCCTCGTTCCCATTAATTCCTTTTGATGGCGCTTGCCTAAAACGCAATGTGAATGACGTACTTCTCATTCCGTCTGCTGTTCTTGCAAAGCAGGGGCGATGAGAAAGGAGGCTAGACAATCAAATCCAAACTGGGAAGTCTCGCTCCTTCTACCGCAGGTCAGCATTTGGTTAGAAGGACTCCCCCCCCTCCACCCCCGCCCCCCGGGGGGGAGGCCCGGGCGCGGCTCTGCAGCATCTGGGCCAGTGAAGACGCTTACTCCCCGCTCTACACCCTCTGGCAAGCACACTGCCTTTGCTGTAACCCTGCCATCCGTCCATCTCCTTGAACAGACCGGAGATATTTTGAGGGCAGGGGACAGGTCTACTCCCTCGTCTGTCCCCAGCTCCAGGCACAGAGCCCAACACTGAACAGATGAGTTCTTGACAGACATTTGCTGAATGAGGATTGTTCACGTGAGATTTCTCAACGCTCACGCCCCTCGCTGGGGTTGTTTTATGCAAGGCGTACCTGAAGGTCACGTAGCGCACAATCCATACTCTGCTTTAAACTCTGCGCTCAGGTGATACAGAGCCACGAAGAGCAGCTCACACGATCTGCGGGATTATTTTGCTTCCTCTAGACTTAATTTTCCTAAATTGCATTATAGCGTCCCGCTGTTGGTCTGCACCGAGGAACACGGTAAGCAGAAAATGTTCTTATCACATCCTCTTTATTAGCCCACACGTGAGAAGTTTCTAGTGGGTCCCAGGAGCTGCGTGCTTCTCAGCAACTGGTTCGCTGTGATTTAATGGAAAACACCAATTCCATAAGAGGTCATACGTCCCTTCCTCCTGTTAAGAATCTCAGGGCAAATGTCTGGCCTGGGTCCAAGGCACGTCGAGGACCGCGGTCTGATGTGTGTTTCTGCATCTTGGCCTGGCCTTCGTCGTGCTCTTAGCCTTTTGCCCTTTCACCCTGAATTCTCTCTCCGTACCAAAATAATGCAATTAATAGCTGGGAATTTGTGTCAGCATGCCCAGGCCTTGTGTAGAGTGGAATGTGTAAATTAAGGAAAGTTTGGCTCAGTGAAAACACAGCTCTCTGGAATTTGCTCAGGACCGGTGCATCGGGGAGGTGGTAACCAGCCAGAGCTAATCTCCTTGAGATAATGAGGAAGGAGGCGTAGGGATCTGACTGCACCTGCTGCCAGCCCCAGCCCAGCCTGGTGGTATGGCTCACAGCTACCACTGTCCTAAGGCACGGATGATGCCTTCCTCTCCCAGCACAATCATACCCACACTGAGAGCGCTGGTGAAGAAACGCACAGCATTTCCAGCCCCACAGAGCCATCTGTACTCTCTCATGAATTGAGTTAAATTAATAAGGTCATCCATAGAAGCCAGCTGGCCTGGAAGGAGCAAGTGAGCACCAAACTTTGGGGGATCTCCGCTGGCCCATGTGATCTAGTTTGATTCTACTGTCTGATTCAGAGCTCGATGTCACTTCCTTATAGGAAATTGGCCTCATTGAACACGGCCATTATAGCGACATCCCCACAGAGAGCCGTAGGATCGGTCTCCCCTTTCGCGAGCCTGCAGCCCCAGACTCTCCTGGATCCCCCAAATATGTTTCATGCCACTTCTGAGTCTTTGCTGGTGTCGATTCCACCTGGGGTCCCCACCTCCTCTGCCCCCGCCTTCCATAATGCTCAGTGCCCTTTGAGATCCTCCTGGGGCTCGCCTCTCGGGCCACGCGGGGCTACTTTAATATCACTGAATTGTCAGTGCTTGAATTGTCACTGAATTGATCAGAGCTTCTGATCAAAGGCATGCACACATAATTCATGGAAGAAATTCTGGGTTCAAACCGTGGCCGTGCCTGTTTCTGGCCACATGACCTCGGGCAAGCCTGCAAGCCTCAGTTAACTAATAATCAGCTTGTAGAATGAGAATAGTAGTGTCTGCCCCAAAGAGCTGTTGAGAAGCTTAACAAAATAGCCCCCTTGGCCACAGTCTCCCCCAATGAATCGCTGTGTTCCGCGTTTCAAGTTCAACTTCATGACCAAATCGTTTCTGCCCAATCGAGAGATCGTGAGTACTCTGCTTTCGGATCCATGTTAGGAACTTGATCACTACTGAGTTCTCATTTTTAAACAAAACAGTGCCTTTTTTCAACATTCCACTCCATCGACATGGCTCTGTCGATTCTTGCCAACAGCCCTTCAAGCGGGTGCCCCATCCAGCTGTGAGGCTTGGGGATTCGAGGACCATGTCTGGCTGACATCCTCATTTTAAAGATGAGAACGCTGCTTGGCACAGCATGAACAAGTGCATTGTGATGAATCGGAGTTCTACTCTGCTGATTTCTTCCCGGGGGATATAGCTTCTCTTGCACTCGGTTTACCTAATTTATCCTGTGAGTATTGTCAGCACCTGAAGGCTAGGTCTCCTGGATGTCAGAGAACCAGTATTCAAATTCTGGGCTCCAGACTTCTGGCTCAGGGGTCTTTCCTCAACCTGTGCCGCCTTCCTCAGTGTTTATCTTTTAGGAACCACAAGGTTTCTGGGGACAGAGGGCATCCATCAACCTTCATCTCAGTATAGGGGGGAATAGGACACACTTTCCCCTGGCTAGTTCCAAACTTGAGAACATCTTCAGTTCAGCATCGATCCACAGCTGTAGGGAGAGGCAGGGATGAGCTTCCTTGCTTTTTTCTCACTGTCTTTGAGGAAAGGATTAGGATGTCCAATGAGCTTTGGCTACATGACTTAGGCTTGGGAAGAAGAGAAGGAGGAGGGAGGAAAGGAAGGACATGGGAAGGGGAAGAGAGAAAGAGACAGAAACAGAGACGGATATAGATTCTATGCACCCATGTACATATAACATATGTCATATCTGTCTCCCACATATCTACCAGCTCAGTCATGTAGCTCTTCTGGACATTTTAGAATGACAGTCGCCTGATCTGAAGAGTATTCTCGGTCACAAATGGCCCAAACTCACAGAAATAGCTACATGGAAGCATTTACTGAGAATTTGGAGAATAGGCTTATTGTTCTCCATAGATGGCCCTTGGAAGTTCACTTCCTTTCTCTAATTCTTGATTTCCCCATCTGTAGAGCACAGTATTAGTATCTGAGATAAGCTGAGTCCCCAGGACCTTTCATTTTCATTTTCTTAAAAAAAAAAAAAAAAAAAAAAAAAACAAAAAAACAACTGTGCTCAAAGCTGGTTATTGTAATGGTTACAGTATTGGTTGGATGGATGGATGGTGATAGGCAAGGCAGCTGTTGCCCATCCCATTTCTCAGGTGATCTCCAGAAATTCAAATAAAATATTCCGAGACAGCTGTTGTCCAGAGAATCGAAAGCAGCTTCTTGGTGGGGTCAGTCTTAATCATTTCCTTTTCCTTTCCTTTTTCTTTTCTTTTCTTTTCTTTTCTTTTCTTTTCTTTTCTTTTCTTTTCTTCTCCTTTCTTTCTTTCTTTCTTTCTTTCTTTCTTTCTTTCTTTCTTTCGCTTCAATCAGTGATTCTCAAAAGACCATCCTAGCACTACATGAGTTGAAGTTATTTTGTGAAGGGTAGGGACTCCTCAGTCTCACTATAGACCTGCAAAAACGTACACCTGGGAGTGGGCTTGAGAATATGCATTTTTGACTACTGTGATTCTGACACATGATACATTTTAAAGACAACTGTGATCCCTTGGGTTGAGCAATCGTGGATGACTTGAAATCCTGGCTTGTGCTTAGAGAACTAGGGGAACACCTTTTCCCAGCAGTTCAACTGTCAACTTTTCACATTGGTTCTGTCCACCCATTTCCCAGCCTCTTGGGGGACAACCAGCCTCTGCTAAATTAATACCAATATTGCAATGTCTAGATGCGGCCAGCAGGGGGCAGTGGATGCTCACATATACCATACCTGCCTTCCCTCCGCCTGCTTCTAAAATCCTTATTAATTTTTCTTTTAAAAGTGGGAAAAACCAACCCTCAAGACTTTCCTTAGGAAACAAACAAAAAAAGCCCACAAAATCAAAACAAGTGCTCCTGGACAAAATGAAATCTCTCGTCCATTTAAATTTTTTTTTCAACGTTTTTTAAATTTATTTTTGGGACAGAGAGAGACAGAGCATGAACGGGGGAGGGGCAGAGAGAGAGGGAGACACAGAATCGGAAACAGGCTCCAGGCTCCGAGCCATCAGCCCAGAGCCTGACGCGGGGCTCGAACTCACGGCCTGCGAGATCGTGACCTGGCTGAAGTCGGACGCTTAACCGACTGCGCCACCCAGGCGCCCCTCTCTCGTCCATTTAATGGACACAGCCAATCCATGTCTTTACCAGGGTTTTAATGTGTATGGTGCCTTAAGAGAGAAGACCCACTTTTCAAATAGGGCTATCTTTAATTTCATTCTTTAATCAGTGGAAGGAGAGAAACTCCTGACTTTATTTTATGGAAAACCATGGCCCTCTTCTCTATATGTCAGCTTGACAGAAGGTATTGGTGTTAACAGATTGTCCAAGTTGGGTTATGCGTCTGTCTTTTCCAGGTCTGGTGCATTTTTTTTTAAATAGAGTATTTTTAGCGTACAACAATATATGCTACTGGAGAAAAATAATAAGATACGGATAAGCAAAAAAGAAGGGAATAAAAATTACTCTAATGTCCCCATACCAAGACAACTACTGTAAACATTTGAGTATAGCTAAATCTCTCTCACACACACACGCACACACAATATAGTCTATGTAGATATGGGCACACTGTTTTCTCGTCTTCTCCATCATACAACAGCATGCTATAAACATAACATGTCGGTAAATATGCTTCAATGGCATCTTTTTAATGGCTATGTGATATTCTCTCCTATGGATGTCCCTTGTGTGGATCTCATGGCAAAAAAATGCAAACAACTTAAAAATATCTAGAAATGTTATAAATATCCCTGTGATGAGCGACTGTTCTGTGAATCATGTAAATCCTTGATTATGTCAGTGGTGTTATATTTTAATAGATACTTGGCTGTGGTTCATAAGCATGCATAGGCTGGGGTGGTATGATTTGCTGCTAATATTTTTGGCAGGATATAGATTCCGGTGTGCACGGGCAGGCCTGGGCAGCTTTATCTCAATCAGCTCTCTTGGGGTTTTGATTTGTTTTTGTCCCCCCCCCCCCCATGATTATGTGTCTAGAATGTTGTTAATGAAATGCAATACCCATCTGTAAGTTTTTCTCTACCTTGATGAATGTGGAGAGGGGGGTGACGAGAGAGGGGTATGGGTCACATGGTTTATAACTCACCAGCCACTGCCTCAGTTTGGCAACTTCGTTTCCAGGCAATCTCCCGGAAGTATCCAGAAGTATCTGGAGTACCCCCAGGACTCTAAGCGGACGGTGGGAAGGGATGAGAGGTAGCAAGCTGGTGGAAGGAGGTGTATTTGAGATCAAAGACGCCAGGAGATTTTGGAAGCATCTACCTCAAGAGAACACAATCTTTCTTAGCAAATGACTAGGAAGCTTAATGAAAGCATTTTCTGTAAGAGGGATTAGAGCTGGGTGCTTGTTTCTTATTTATATTCATACTTGTACTTTTGATTTTGCTTTTCTCTACTTCTCCTCACTGCTATTTGGGACGTGCTGAGTGCTGGTTACATGCTCCAACATGCACCATTATGAATCTTTGAGTTCATTTGAGGATTACATCACTCCCTATGATTCTATCCCTTCTTTGCACACTTCTTTCTGGTCTATTTCTCACCTTTTTTTTTTTTTTTTTCTGTCTCACTGCAGTCATTTCTAGCCACTAACTCTCTAGGGAAGTTCTACCGGACTCCCCCTGAAATAATAATGTTCTGAAATGAAGACTACATACTTTTACTCAAATTTTAATGGGATTCTATTCAGTGCCTGATACCTACAACTGGGCTCTGAAAACAGACGCAAAAGAAGCCATAAAATGTGGTTTCTGATCGCTCCATCCGCTCAACACATAATTTGGGGGGAACCCATCACACAGAGTTTCGTTGAACGAGCCCTACTGAGTGGTCACAACACTGACATTTAGGCCGACTTTTACCCATTTTACAGATGAAGGGACTCGGACCCAGAGGGATCTGTGCTTCATCCCAGGCTACACAGCTAATAAGTGGAGGAGAGCCAGGGTTTTCCCCTCCACGTGCCAGCTTCCCAGAGCCTGTGGAAGTCACAGACCGGGCTGCACCCGGGAGCGACCAGGGGGAGAAACCCTAAGTGGCTGATGCCATTTCGAACAGGCCAATAGTTTTATCGAAGGAAAAGCAGAAAAGGGAAAGAAGTGTAACAGACCCATGGTGGCATTCCCACCGCTTAGGTGACTGAAGGCCCCTGACTCACCGGTGGCGCTGTTGATTCGAGGCCATGACCTAGGGCAGAAAAGAGAGCCAAGGTAAGTGTCAGCCGCATTCGATTACATACCTTCCCCAGCGGGATGGGCTGCTGTTATAGGCGTTTTCCCCAGATCAACCTATACAATGATTTCTTTTTTCTTCTTCTTTTCTAAATGTTTATTGATTTTTGAGAGAGAGAGAGGGAGAGAGAGCAGGGAGGGGCAGAGAGAGAGGGAGACACAGAATCGGAAGCAGGCTCCAGGCTCCGAGCTGTCAGCACAGAGCCTGATGCAGGGCTCGAACTCACAGACCGTGAGATCATGACCTGAGCTGAAGTCAGACGCTTAACCGACTGCGCCACCCAGGAGGAGCCCCCAGAACGATTTCTTGATGTTCTCATTGTTCTAGATCTAAAATCACATCTCATTATAGAGAATACGGAAAACAGAAAAACGTAGAAGAAAATAACAATCAACACCCCAGGTAATATTTTGGCAAATCCCATCTACATGTGTGTATGTGCTTCTGAGGATGTGTGAGTACATTGAGACACATAAGTAGTAAAACTAGCAGAACCACCTATGGGCTATTGATGTTAAAGATACATTCTAGATCTTCAGCGGTTATTCAAACGCATGATATTTATTGCCTGTGTGATTTTTAGAGGGGACATTCAGGTTCTCGCTAGTTTCCATTACGGTGAATAATGTTGCAGGGCGCATTTTAATCTAATCACCAGATATTTCCGTGGAGAGACTCCGCCAGGCACAGCGAAGGGGTCAGGCGACACGGATCTTCCAAGCCCCTCGCTGTGGATCGTGCAGTTTCCTTCCACGTGGGTTGGGTCCGTGTAGACGCTAATCCACAGAGCAGGAAGTGACCATCTCACCGCATCCCAACACTATTAAATCCTATCCTTTAAAACAATGTTGCCTGTTTGTTGATCCCTTACGGTGCCTGTTTCATTTCCCTGATGACCAGTGAGACTGAATTCTTCTTCTTTTTCAAGTGGTTTTAGGCCCCTTGGATTTTTTTCCTGTCGTGAGTTATCTGCACAGGTCTCTCTCCATTTTCTAATGAGGGCTTTGCCTGGCCACCATGTTCCCCTTTGGACAGGGTGCTTTCGGAAGCACATCTTGCCTGGATTTCGGGCAATGATCTGAAAAAGCTCTGGGGCCACAGAAAGGCTCTGGAGGATGCCGCTTGTGTGAGCCGACTTGTTTGTGCCTTTAACGATCTCGGGGCCTTGCACAGCACCTATCCTCCGAGGCCCTCAAAGTGCGTCACCGGAGCAATTAATTGAGCATCGCAACACAGGCCGGGTGTAAATATTTATGAGGCCTGGCTGGTGGCTGGGACACTGGCCACAGAAGAGTTAAACTGGGAGATGTTAGTAACTAGGAGACCACCTTCCAGGAGTCTAGCTCCCTGCTTACCCTTTGTCCTCTGTTTACCATTTTAAATTTTTTTTTTCAACGTTTTTTTAATTTATTTTTGGGACAGAGAGAGACAGAGCATGAACGGGGGAGGGGCAGAGAGAGAGGGAGACACAGAATCGGAAACAGGCTCCAGGCTCCGAGCCATCAGCCCAGAGCCTGACGCGGGGCTCGAACTCACGGACCGCAAGATCGTGACCTGGCTGAAGTCAGACGCTTAACCGACTGCGCCACCCAGGTACCCCATGTTTACCATTTTAACACCGCGAGGGACCCTGTGGGGTGGCTCTCATTGTCCCAAATTTACAGACGAGGAGATGGGAGATTCAGAGGGCTCAGTCCCACAGAGAGCGAGGGATCTGACACCAGCCTGTCCGATTCCCACATCCTCACTGCCTCCCCGGCCCTCACCCACAGGCGGTGGCCAATCCTGGAGGCATTGACAGCTGCGTCTCAGAGTCCTTGTGGTTGGCTCTTGGCATCCTTTCCAGCTGCCTGAGATTTTGCAGAAATTAACAGTAAATCAGCCAGTAAGGAGCAGATCTGGGGCCTGAGAGCTCTCTCTCTCTCTCTCTCTCCACTTTCAACACATGGCCTCTTCCCTGACATCTTGGTCTTTGATTAAGGCCTCGGAAGGCTCCCCAGACCTGCAGTTCATGACATGTGACATGTAAATGACACGTTTTTGTGACTGCGTACAGGGAGCTTGATGTGGGTGTGGCAAGCCAGGCCACTGCTGGGAGACAGCACACCCAGGGCAGGCAGGGTGCAAGCCCCAGCCCAGGGGTGACGAAGGGGAGCTACGCTCTCCTCGGGGTTCTAGAAAGAACTTGAGCTTGGAAGTTAGCATTCTGTCCTCCCTCTGACCTTGGCTTCCCCCGGTTTTTAGAACTAAAGACCGTTAATGCTGCAAAGCCCATCGGAGACCATGCTGTCCAATTTGTTCCAAGTTTCAGACCCTTGGGAGGCAGAAGCGGGGTCTTCTGACCCCCATAAAGAGCGGAAGGGAACACCGCCTGCCGGGCACTGAGCGAGGCTCTGCTCTGGCGGGTGGGCTCTCCCCACTCTGCACCCTTATTATTTCCAAGCCCATAGCAGCAATGTAGACCGCCCAGCTCTCAGCCCCTGGGAGCTTCCTCCCGATTGTCCAGGTTGTCTGAAAGTGGCTTATCTGATCCGCTCTGCCTCTCGGCGGGGTCCCAGAGCGATGGAGCTCATTCATATGTCATAGTCCCCCGGGGATTCTGCACCCCAGAGCTCTCTGTGCGTCAGTGCAAGCCAAATGAATTAGCAAAGGAAGCATCAGCAGGGCGGGGAGCCGCGTTGTTATTCCAGCTGAGCCCCCAAAGGGGAGAGGGAGAAGAGGAAGGCTGGGACCTGGGAAGGAGGGGGCCCCGGAGGCTTCCTGGACTCCTCAGCCGAGAAGCTCCCTGAAAGGCTCCTGGGCTCAACACTCTTTGCAGCCTGACAGCCCAGGGTGACGGTGAAAGAGCGACTTCATGGAGGTCCGATGTGTCCTCTTTATGCTCAAGTGAGGCCCACGTGTTGGTTAGCAAGCTGCCTCTCGCCAGGTGCTTACAAGGACGCTCCCTGCTTCCTTCTGTCAACAGCATCCGTAACATGGCCACATGCGGACGGGCCGTGGCTGGATGGCGGGATAGCTTGGTCCCCACCCCTTCCTCCTTCCACCTCTGGGCCTGAGGGCCACAGGCCTTCCTCTGCACCTCGGGCCTGTGCAGGCAGGTGTCCACGTTGTGGTGGGGGGTTCTCCGTATATGAGATGCACAAAGCTGACCTCCAGCGTTTGTGGTTTTCTATATTTAAGGCACGTTGCCAATAAAGATTTTTGATTTCTGAATTATGTTTCAATTTTAACCCTTCTTAATAAGGTAATGTGCTTCATAATTTTTAATCTTTGAAGGGCACTAAATTATACTCATCCTCCCTCCCCCCACCCTAAGTTGCTGCCAATCAGAACGGGATCTGATTGGGTAGGCGGGGTGCACTTACGCCTTACTCATCCATGGGAGCAAAGTTTGGATGGTGTGTTTTTCTGGTCCCATAGAGATGGGATTTGGTCCTGTCTCCAGGGTCAGGCTCCTGGCATGGAGTTTAATTCCTGATCCGCCCCTCGGGTGTGATGTGTATGGTCCCCTCTGGGTCTCCCCAGGCACCCAGTGCTGGAGCAGAATTGGGCATCAGATCCCCTGGGGAGGGGGTCAGGGTGATTTCACCTGCCAGTCCACTCCCTGTCCCAAACCTCCAAGATTAACCGGCTCGGTGACATTTCTCACCTTAAGCACTGCCTCTGACATTCAGAGATGGCAGTAGGCTAAAATTCTAATTTTTGGAAGACCGTTGATACGGGTTGCTAACCCGATTTTTAAGATAATCTAGAGAGAAATGAAAGTGACTCGAAAGTCCTAAAGTCATTGCCTTCTTCCCTCTGTGTGGCTGTCTGAGCTGTGCTGGTTGACTGTTGCGCCTTACATAAATCATTTCACCAAATGTCTTGGCAACTCTTGTTGGACAAGAATCTGTATCCTGACGTTAGGGCTAATTACGGAATGTTAGTGCAAACGGGACCATGAACTGGCCCTTTCATTTTGTCGCTGGGTTGACCCAAGCCCAGGTTAAGCCCCCGGGGGAGCTGGTGGTTGCGCGTTTATAGCACAGCCCGTCTGCAGGCAGGGCTCGCCCTCCTTCCTCTCCAGCACTGGAGGGAGGTGCAGATTGGCGTCAGGGAGCTTTAGAGGCTGAGGTCTGGAAAGCGGTGTGCTCAGAGAGTGGGGAGCCCGCAGGGGCGGACTAGAAGGCCTGTGTGGTCCTGGAGGCATGTGGGGCTTGGTAGGCTGCCGGATAACGCTCCAAGATGCATCGCAGGGAGGCCTCCCGGGGGCACATGGGATCTACTGGCAAGGGAAGGACTCGGGCATAACAGTCTCAGCAGGAGGCAAGGCCGACCTTGACAGTGGGTGTTCCCCTAGCTTCCCACGTGGCCACCAGAGCCCTCCTCTGCTCTGCTGGCACCCATTCAAGGTGGAATCAAGTCCACGCTCATATTTAACTAGTGAATGAATGGGCTCCTTCTCTGTTAAAGGAATCCTTGATTATCTGCACGAATCTTCCTCTTACCGATTTTACTTTTACACACACACACAAGCCGCATTTGGGGGTATGCAGCTCCCTGAGGGATCCTGGGGAAAACTCCGGAAGTGTGAACGTTCTCACCTCCCAGGACCCTTCGGCCTGGGGGAGCCCTGCCCCTCTCTACCTGCTCAGGGGCTCCCGCTTACCCCCCCCCCCCCAGGACCGGTGAACCTCCCTGCCTCTGAACACCCCAGCACTTCTCTGCTCTCCCAACACAAGAGGAGAGTCGAAAGGCAGTGTGGAGTTAGGCATTTCTTACTTAAATCTCATTGTTAAGCCTTCCTGTGTTTTTTCCTTTCCTCAACTAGGTTTTAAGTGGTCTGGGGACAGAAAGCATGTGTTGTGAGCTGTGATCACTCTCATAGGAGCCATCCACGTCCCTGACAAATACCGAGAAATGAAAACAACAACATCGGGGTTACGTCACAGAGGAGTGGAGAGGCAGCGTGGGGTGACCTGGGTGTCCAGCTTAGCTCGGGCGGACGACTCCCGAGTCCCCAGCCTCCACCCTCTCCCCTGGCCTCCCCAACTTACTCTCTTCTCTCTGCTTCCCTCCTGCTTGCCTTCCGGTAGACGTTCCTTCTGTCACCTACTTAAGTATCCAGCCTGTGCCAGGCACGGGGCATCGTACAAGCCAATGGCCTCCTGTGGGTCCCTCCTGCCCTTCTTCCTCCCGTCCCTTCAGCAGTGTTCACTGAGCATCTACTAAGGGGAGCTCCTCGAGGGCGAGCCCAGGAGGGGGTTGCAGCACCACACCACGGTCCACGCACCCTCTGTGAAAGCACTCGGGCCCTCTGTAACGCTCTCAGCCAGCCACATCTTGCAGAAAGATACTCCCCTTTCTGCACAGCGAGGCGGGTCTGTTGGTGCCATGGGCACCCAGGGCAGCTGGGGGCAGGCAGGGGAGACCAGAGAGGTCAAGAGTAACAACAGCAGGGGCCTTTGCCCCATCTGTCTCCTGGGCAGAGGGCTGCCTGGTGGGAGGCCCGCAGGGGGTTTCCCAGTGTGGGATCAAGGAAGATGACCACCGGCCCTCCTGACCCCCGAGGAATTACAGCCACCTGCACCTCGTCCCTGGGGAACGAACTATTCCAACTTTGTTGGTGGCCAAAGGGAACAAATGGATAGTGGCCGAGGTGAGCGTGGGGAGGGTCTGAGCGTGGGGCACGGGAGCCACAGTATCCACCGCAGTGCCGTGGTCAAGAATGGGGAAAGAGACTCGCGCTCGGAGTGTGAAGGCAAAGCTGGGGACCTCGTGGGCCAGCCCTTAGCCTCCCGGACGCTTGGTGCCCCCCAGACTCTGTCACGGCACGTGGCACAGTGTCTCAGAGTCTGTAATAGAAGCGATTATGTTCTCCCCCCCACCACAGATTGAACATCTGAATGGCAGGGGCTGCGTCTTCCTCTCTGGCTTTCCCTGTCCCCAGTGCACTGACGTCTCCCACCTTCCTCCTACCCCTGTGCCCCTACCTTGTGTCTTCTTCCCTCCTTCCTGTTCCCCAGGGGCGGTGGGTAGGGGTGGGGTGAGTGCTGGGTGCAGAGGCCGCCTCTTCAGCTCCGAGGCTTTGCACCTATCAGTAACAATGCTAAAAGGGAGGCCAAACGTGAGTGGGCACCGGAGTCACCGGGAGGAATGTTTAAACACAGATGCCTGGGCTCCCGCAGCATGGGCCAGGGCCTGAGACTCTGCATTTCTACGAAGCTCCCAGGTGGTGTGGCTAAGAGGCTGTGTCAAGGATGTGGACGTTCTTCTCGGGAGCGTAATGCTCACGCCCCTTCTTCGCAGCAGAGAGTTTGGCGCGAGCAGACTGGAGACTCATGGGAAGAGAAACCACAATCCACACGTACATGCCCACAAAGCAGAAAGTCGTGATCGCCGAGAACTCAGAAATGGCACTCGATTTGAGGTTAGACCCTGAATCGCAATCCAGCTGGTCCCAGTTACAAGGTCTGTGACTGACTGAAACGGTAACCTCTCTCAGACTCTCTTTTCTTGTCTATAAAATGGGAATAATAATAGCTACTTCAGAGCATTATTGTGAGGAGTAGATGCCAAAATTCCTTCCGCGGAGGCTGGTACATGCCCGGCATTTAACTATGTATTTGAGTTTGGACCTGATTGGAAAACACGCGTCAGTAGGTTTCTGTTTTCTACACATGTGGGGACACAACACGGAACAGAAGTGGAGATTGGAGGTTCCGCCTGATGAATTCCATGGCGTTTTCTAGGACACATTCATACCAGCAGTGTAGACAGGCCGTGGGTGGTGGATATGGATGCGATCCTGTGTTTTTCTTGGATCGATTTTGGCTCGGGTCACGGCCACACGGTTTATGGGTTCACGTGGGGCTCTGCGCTCCCAGCGTGGAGCCTGCTTGGGATTCTCTCACTCTGCCCCTTCCCTTGCTTGCACGGAATCTCTCTCTCGAAACCAATAAAAAACATTTACAAAAAGGGAGACTAATAAGACTGTGAATATGGGGATCCAGGCAGACGCTACCTGTTAAACACTTAAAATAGTGCCTTGCCCACGGTGAGCACTCACTCAGTGAGCGTTCGCCCTTGTAATTTATTGAGAACCTGCTATGTTCCAGGCAGGCTACACAGGAACTACTTTAATAGAGGGGTCAGTGGGGAACCAGGCAGCCCGCTCATTCAGTTTCAGATTCCATTTCTGAAATCTATGAGGCGCTGAGATGGAAATGGGCTTGTGAGCAGGAGGTCTCTGGGTGAGTGAGCAGGTCAGGTGACCTTGAAACCCAGTGCCCTCAGGCCGCTTCTGTGCCCCAGCGGCCTGCCCCCAGCACCTTCCTTCCCGCCGCATGCAAATGCTGGTAATGGTAATTTGTCCGAAGAATGAATTAATCAGTGCGATAGTTATTAAAGTAAGATAGTAGACCCAAATATGTAGTTTTCAGACATTTTGGTTTTATATATCTCAAATACTAATTTATACGCATATAATACTTTCATTATAAAATATGCAGTGGTACAGAGATTTGTATGCATATGGGATTTTTTTTTTTTTTAATTTGGGTTTATAAATGGTTTGGAACAGGTTGCAGAAACATTGTCTGTTGCTCTTTTTAATATATCTTGAGCATGCTATGACACATCCTGAAATAATTTGCTGCGGAAAAAAGCCCTGCTCTCTCTCTCTCTCTCTCTCTTTTTTTCAAATGTAGCTGTAAATATTACTTTGATGCACGTAATTGCTGCAACCACCTCCATTTGAAGGAAGGCTTCTAACCCTTCCATCTCCCATCTCCTGCTATTGTCAAGAAATAAGAAAAACTGACTTCAAATGCATTATTCAAATGTATTTAATGTAAACATTGAAGAAGTCTGAGAACAGCCACAAATTTTGCTTTGCTTCATGTGGTTTTGACAATGTTTCAAATATGCTGTTTTACAGGCGTCCATTTACTCTTTTTAGGGAGAACAGTTCCTCAAGTCAATCTGACGATGCTAAGAAGGTCCCCGTGCTGGGCACATAGGACCGGATGAGTGTTAGGCGGTTGACCCAACACTCGGTTGCACCCGAGTGCAAGTGCATTGGGGTGCAAGGAATGTGGTATACCTTGCTGAGACCCTCGCGTGACTCTGGGCAGAGACACCGCTCCGTCAAGGCTTGGGCGAGGGAGCTCTGGGGGGGACCCTCTGGGCATCAGGGTATTGTCCAGGGTCTGGCTCCTGGTCAATGGCAGAGGTGGATTGGGCCTCAGGATGGGAATCTTGCCATTTCAACAAGCGAGCCCCTACGCTGAGCCTTCAGACGTGGCGATGAGCCCCTTGGAGGTGGGGCTTTGTCTCTCTTCTCTGCATATTCCCTAGCCTGTGCAAGTCCCAATGCCACAACTGTTCAGTAAATATTTGCTCAGCTGAAGGACAAAGAGAAGCGTCCATGTGGGCACATGGCTTCCTCGATCCTCCTTGTGGTGGTCTCTTGGCCCGATTCATCAAAGATTCATCATTAGATTTTTTCGCCAGCCGAGAATAGAAACTTCCCTCTTGGTGGCTATCTCTCAGGCTGTGTAGAGACCTGGTGGGTGGTGCCAACAGCCCTGGTCTGAAATGCTGCGGATGCCTTGGGGCTTCTCAACCTTTACCTGCATCTCACACCGGCTGGCAATTCAACCCACATGAATTTCTTTTCCTTCGGGACCTCGGTCTCCATGTGACCGCTGACCTCTAAGATACCACTGGCAGCAATAACATTCTATCACATTAACATTGTGTGTGTGTGTGTGTGTGTGTGTGTGTGTGTGTGTGTTGGTCAGCTTGTTGCCACAGAATCAAACTTTTCACTCCCCCATTAATAAACAAGTAAACATTCTGACCTATTTTTTGGCAGACCGAAGTCCTGGAATTTCAAATGACTGGAAGCGTCTTTTGTTGTCCTTCTCTTGCCCCTGGGATGAAAGCAAATAGATGGCAGTCAGGAAATAGCAAGAGGTGAGGGGAAAAAATTAATTAAGTGCATTCATTCATGGAAACAGCCACCCAGTCAGATTTAAGTAATGAACATCTCACGCGATTCTAAATCTCTCTTTGCATTTCCATTGGGGTTTTAAAAAAATCTGCGTTTAAAGTAATGTAATTACTTAAAAATGTATATGTATTTTTAGTGTAAGAGCTTTATTTCACAAGGAGTGGTGGGGGGGTGCGGAAGAAGTGTCCCAGTCAGGATGAAAACGTGGGCTTCTCCCCCACGTCGGCAGGCTCAGTGTGGCCCCCTCCTCAAGCTGTGTGAGTCTCGTGACATTGCTCTGTGAAAGGAAGAGAATCACACCTTTGTCACGTGGTCGAGGGGAGGCAAGGACAAACAAGGACAGCGCCGGGGGGGGGGGCCCCCAGGAACGTTCTAGATGCCTCCTTCGCGAGCTGAATTTGACTCCCAGCTAGCAGACAGAACAGCATCCAGTGAAGGCAGGCGGATTACTTAGCAAGAGCAATTCAGATTCGAGCAATATTTATTGAAATTCTGTATGATTTAGATACTTTGCCGTGGAGTTTTCTGTGAAAAAAATTATTTTAAATTGAGTTGATTTGGTCAAATTCAGGAAGGCATTCGCTGTCATAAACCATCACTGTGATGCATCCTTTCTTTCTTTAATTAGCCGCGCTTAATATCCTTGCATTTCTTTTGCAGGTATTTTGTGAGCTTTAGCAGGTGTTTCCTGGTGAGTTTCCTCTGCTAATGCTCCTCTCGTGAGCTCCGCTGACCCCCTGGTCCTGGTTCCCCCCACGTGGGGCACACTTCCTCATTCTCGGTCCTTGGACTTTCTCTCCTCCTAACCCCCTTTCTCTTCCAGATGCTGGTTATTGCCTGCCTTCTCCTGCTTCTGAGCTCAGTGTAGGCACCCGCCCCCCAGGGGAAACTTCCCTGACCTCTGAGACAGGCTCCTTCACCGACTGGTCCCAGTTATAATTTTCCTTTTGTCTTAACTTGTAGCTGTGTTCGTGTCCCATAAGCCAGCTCATGCACCGTGCCGCCCGCCCCAGGGTAGAGACGCACGGGGTGGGGAGTGGGGGGAGGGGGGAAGGGGGGCTGTGGTCAGCACCTGACCCTCGGAGGCCCCTCGGGGTACGTGTGTGTGTGTGTGGGAGTGAAGGACTCTGGGAAATGCTTCCCGGTGCCTGGAGACCTTCCATCTAGGATTTTGTGTGCAGCCTACCGGCTGCGAAGTGATACATAAACAATTTAATGAGTTGTTTGCATGTAGTTCGTCACGGGGTACATCCCCACAAAGCAAGGTGATGGTGTTAGTTCCGTATTTCACATTTTACTTTTTTTTCATTATTTCGTGATCGCAAAAATGAATTATTGTGTTATTTGATCTATTTCATCGCTTTCTATTTCTCTGGGGGAAGCTTGATTCATGTCTGCATCGGTACTCTGACTTCTAAGCTCTAGACACGGGCATCTATTTTCCGGACCTTCCTGTGAGGTTATCCTCCAGCAGACTTTCCCCCGTGAGCAGCCTCTTTGCTCACATAGTTTGCAAACCAGCAGCCTGGGCACTAAACTTGAGTCTTCTCTTTCTTGCCCCCATCATGCCACCTCCATGCTTTGGTTCCAGATCCTGAGTCGATCCCCTGATGCTTGCTAGGCTGCCTCTTCTTCCTCACCCCGAGGGGCTCTATTCTGTCTTTGGTTCTTTATATGTGTTTTTCATGCTTATTTATTTTTGAGAGAGAGAGAGAGAGAGAGAGAGAGAGAGAGAGAGAACAAGCAGGAGGGGCAGAGAGAGAGGGAGACACAGAATCCAAAGCAAGCTCCAGGCTCGGAGCTGTCAGCATAGAGCCTGAGGCAGGACTCAAACCCACAGACTGCGAGGTTATGACCTGGGCCGAAGTTGGATACTTAACCCACTGAGCCACCCAGGCACGCCATGTCTGTCTCTTTCTTTCTTCTTTCTTTCTTCCCTGTTTTCTTTCTTTCTTTTCTTTCTTCTTTCTTTTTTTCTTTCTTCCCTGTTATTTCTTTCTTTCTTTCTTCCCTCTTCTTTCTTTCTTTCCTTTCTTTCTTTCCTTCCTCCCTTCTTCCCTCTGTCTTCTTTCTTTCTTTCTTTCTTCTCTTTCTTTCTTTCTTTCCTTCTTTCTCTTTCTTTTTCTTTCTTCTTTCTTCCCTGTTTTCTTTATTTTCTTTCTTTCTTTCTTTCTTTCTTTCTTCCCTGTTATTTCTTTCTCTTCTTTCTTTCTTTCTTCCCTTCCTCCCTTCTTCCCTCTGTCTTCTTTCTTTCTTTCTTTCTTTCTTTCTTTCTTTCCTTCCTCCCTTCTTCCCTCTGTCTCCTTTCTTTCTTTCTTTCTTTTTTTCCTTTTCTTTCTTCTCTCTTCTTTCTTTCTTTCTTCTTTCTTTCTTCCCTGTTTTCTTTCTTTCTTTTCTTTCTTCTTTCTCTTTCTTTCTTTCTTCCCTTCCTCCCTTCTTCCCTCTGTCTCCTTTCTTTCTTTCTTTCTTTCTTTTTTTCTTTTTCTTTCTTTCTTTCTTTCCTCTCCTTTCTTTCTTCTCTCTTCTTTCTTTCTTTCTTTCTTTCTTTCTTTCTTCTCGGTTCTTTCTTTCTTTCTCTTCTCTTTCTTTCTTCTCTCTTCTTTCTTTCTTTCTTCTCTGTTTTCTTTCTTTCTTTCTTTCTTTCTTTCTTTCTTTCTCTCTTTATCTCTGGTCTGGCCCCTAGTATCAACCCCTTAACTGCCTTCTTGGCCTCTCAGGCTCCAATCCCCCTACTGTAAAGCAGCGGGCGTGAGCTTTCTCATTAGCAGATTATTATCAACTCACCTCCCTGCTTGAAAATCTTTACCACTTCTCCACAAAATCCACACTCATCCCCACGAGAGCCAAGATCCCTGCCCCAAAGCCTTCCCTCCCTCCCTCCCGCCCTGTCCCCCTGTCAGGGCCCCACACTGCCCTCTCTCCAGCTGTACTTTTGCAAGCCCCCACATCACTGATTAGATTGTTTTGGGTGGGGGAGCCTCCTCTCTATCTGGCAAAAATAATTTCCATTCTTCAGGGTCTAGTTCGAATGCTAGTTTCCCCTGAGTTCTGTGCTGCTTCCTTTTTAGTACTTTTGGCATGTCTCTGTTTTACCATTCGTTCATTTGTTCATGAATCCGTTGATTCATTAGCTCTGCAAACAGGTATCAGATCTATTCTGTACCAGGCTGTATGCTAGGCAGTGGGATGCAGTTGTTAAAGAAGATGGATGGAGTCTGCCTCATGAATCTTGCCGTTGTTGGGGAGACAGGCCAGAAACAAGTAAACAAGCAACCTTATTTTATCATGGGGCCTTGTATCTGCCTGTTCATGCATTCGTGTTCCCCTGGCGTAGGGGCTTGACGGCAGAGGCATATTCTGGGAATCTTTTCTCCCCTAGCACACTGGGTAACTGGCCTCAGGAATCGGTGTGTAAGATACCAAGAGATGCATCGGTAAAGAATAGACAAACGACCCGCCCATCTGGGCTCATCCACAGCAGTGAGCTGTGCGCTTAGTGTGCAGAATCCTGTGGGTCCCTCTGCCGCCAGGGAAATTCTGACCTGTCCCTGCACTGAGAAGGAGGCCCTTGGTTTCATTATATCATGTCAGAGCATTTCTGTGCTCCTGCAGCCCATGTGACATTTGCCTACATGGCTTCCACTAGTCCAATATTAACAGCATGGGAAAGATTCTAGGAATTTCCTTCACCTCTTGCGAGAGGCACGTTAAGAATCCAACATCCTGAAAGCTACCATTACTTTTCCAGATAATTTGCTTTCATCTTTTTAAGTTTAAGAAGAGAGTTGAAGGGCTCCTGGGTGGCTCAGTCGGTTGAGCGTCTAACTCTTGCTTTTAGCTCGGGTCGTGATCCCAGGGTCTTTGGCTCGAGCCCCTCATCAGACTCTGTGCTGAGTGTGGAGCCTGCTTAAGATTCTCTCTCTCTCTCTCTCTCTCTCTCTCTCTTTCCTTTTCTCTCTCTTTCTTTGCTCCTCTCCGCCCCCCCTATCTGAAATAAAAAAAAGAGAGTTGAACTTAAAGTCTTTTTCTATTTTCTATTTACAGCAACCCTTGGCAGTGAATGGCAGGCATCCTTCTCAGCTCCAAGTACAGATGAGGAAACAGGGACCCCGAGAGAGCAGAAAGGGTCTGGTTAGAGTGACCAAGTCGGTTGGTGGCCACGCCAGCGCTAGAGGTCAGGTCTCTCCGATCCCCTGCCAGGTCCATGCCAAATGCACAGCAGGGGAGGCCAGAACCAGTGACTCCCAGAAGCCTGGGGCCAGGCGCCTCTGAAGACAACCGAGGAATGGAGACAGAATGAGTGGGGGCAGGTGTTCCACTGCCCACAGTGCATTAAGGGCAATGTTAACAAAGTTGGCAAATAAAGAGCCGTTCACCTGGATAAGAAGTAGTTAAAGCCCATTTGTTTTTCAACTGCAAGCAAAGAGCAGAGGTTAGAAAATGGAGAGGTTCCCTCCCTGTTGCCTGCTCCCTCCCTAGTTGAGTTTTGTTCCCGAACCTCCGGGAAAACTAAAATGCCCAGCCCCACAGGTTTCCTCCCTACCCGGTTTCTCTGGTTTAAATCATTCTTTAGGGTTCCAGTTTTTAGAGACATGTGTTTTTAAGTGCACACCGTTGAGAGAATCATAAAGCCTCAGTCTGCCATAGCAAATGTTATTAAGAATGTTAATCACCGTAGGTCAAGATTACTTGCTTTGCATTCAGTTGAGATCTGACCTTGCAAGTTCAGCATTCCCAAGTTGGCCATTGCATCTGTGAGCCTGGGGAGGATAGTTCTGTTCACGACCATAGTGGAAGTAGGTGCGCATCATTTTACAAGGCCTCGAACATTTGGGACCAGCTGTCCTTCCTGTGGGCCACTCAGCCTGTCCCACCCACGTCATGACATGCGTCACATCAGCATTTTTAAACTGTTGCTCTATTGCTTGTCATTGATCCTAGTCAAGTGCCCACCAGGGAAGCACAGTTAATTCACTGCACAGGCACATCCTGCAAAAGTGAGAAGTGCCGGTGGCTCGTGGGGAAACTGAGGCACAGACAGCCAGTGGACGAGCCAATTAATTGTTCTTCCAAACATCTCACATCCTCCCAAAAAAAAAAAAAAAAAACAGTAAGAGCACATCACCTCACAGGACCCAGCCTCTCTTCTTGAATATTCTCCTAGCACTTGAGGCTCAACGCTTTCCAGCTGTCTCTGATTTCCTTCTCCTCTTCTGTATCTCCCTCCTGCACGATCAGTTAACAAAACCCATCTGGTCCCCCTTCACGTGTTTTCGTGCTCCCTCCTTTTTAAATATACCCTCAGAACCTGCCTTCTCCAGATTCCCATTGCTTTCTGGGTAGACCTAACCCACTTGATGGTTTAGAACTGGTAGACCAGTTCTCTGGTGGAATCAATATCTACCTGCTACAGTGGGTTGAAGGGTGTCTACCAAGAGGTATGTATATCTGGCACGTGTGGATTTGACTTAGGTTGGAAAAAAGTTCTTTGAAAATGTAATCATGCTAAGGATCTTGAGAGATGAGACCCTCCGGGATTAGGGTGGGCCCTAAATCCAACGATGGGCCTTTTAGAGAAGAGAGGAGAAGAGAACATGTTAGGATGCTGTGTGAAGACCCATGTCTTCACATGGCAGAGTAAGGCAGAGTCGGGCGTGATGTGGCCACAAGTTAGGGAACTCCTGAAGCCACCCGGAGGTGGAAGAGGTGAGGAAGGATCTCCTCTAGAGTCTTCAGAGGGAGCACAGGCCTGCTGACGCCTTGGTTTTAGACTTCTGGGCTCTAGAATTGTGGGAGAATACATCCATGTTGTTTTAAGCCACGCGCTCATGGTAATTTGTGATGGCATCCCTGGGAAACTAACACAAGCACATCTAACCTGTCCCAAGGAACGGGAAATAAATCGGAGCCAAATCCAAATCAAGGCAAAACAATCGGTGCTGTGATAAAAACAAATGAACAAACACAACAATGACAAAACATATGTTCTAGAAGGAAAAAGATGGACAAAACTGGTTAAATCTTGCAGTGAGGAGGTAGCTTCCCCAAAATGGTGAGTGAGGATGAATGGGTATTTGCCAGACTGATGACACGGTGAGCTAGGAGGTGGCGAGGGAGGTGGGGGCAACTTATTTTGAGAGCTAAACACCGGCTTCGAGTTTTCCTGGTCATTCCCCTCAAATTTCTCATCTTTTCCTTCCTGTACTCCCAGCTGTACCCAATATGGCAAGTATATTCTGACCAGCACAGAAAGAGCAATTTCATTTATTCTGCGGTGAAACTACAGTTCTTCTTTAAATGTTTATTTTTGAGAGACAGCGAGACAGAGAGAGAGAGAGAGAGAGAGGAGAACAAGCAGGGGAGGGGCAGAGAGAGAGAGACACATACAGAATCCGAAGCAGGCTCCAGGCTCCGAGCTGTCAGCACAGGGCCTGACATGGGGCTCAAACCCACGAACCATGAGATCACGACCTGGGCCGAAGTCGGACACTTAACCGACTGAGCCACCCGGGTGCCCCAGTGAAACTACACTTCTGTTCATGAACTGTCAGATAAAGTTCAGTTTTTGCAGAAGGCTCTCATTCTATGCACCCACGGTGAACTTGCAGGCTTCTAAGAAATCACACAAATTGCTCTTAAGCCATAATTGTCCTTCAATGACTCGTGCAGCTGGATTGTTGACTCCAAGATCACGAATGGTAATAATGAATACCCTAGAATTATAAGGATAATAATGACAGCTCAAAACTTATGTAAGATTTACTGGCTATCATTTGTCATTTCACACATCCTCACAACATCCTGTGAGAATGTTCTTACTCTGTTGGCTTTCTTCAACTCGTGTTCAACTCATGCTGTATCTCCTCAGGAATTGATTCATGTTGGGTTCCTGAGGAGATAGACTAAAACGTAATCATGTAGGCATTGAGCTCCTGGAATCAGTCCCCAGTGAAGGAAAGAAACAGAATAACATTGGCAGAAGGAGATGGTAGGCTGTGCTCTGAGGCTGGCCTCGTGGACCTTCACCACTGTCCTGAGCTGTGGTGGGAGGTCGGGGCTTTTGTGCCCCTGGGTGGATAGTCAGTGGATGCGGGTTGTCTTGGGTAAGGCAAATTCAACCAAAGAAATTCCCAAAGAAGGTTGAGGGGGGACCTAGGAATAGACTCACAAAGTCTAGTACAAAATTACACTGGTTTCTGACTTTTTAGTAAGTCTGAGGCCTCAGACTCAAAATGGGCCTTGGCTATATTTCTCAGTAGGAGAGAGGAGAAATTTACAGGAAGGATAGGGACAAAGCAGAATGATTCTGAGGCCAGTTGTCCCCAGGGAAGGAGACTATCAGGTCAGAGAGGCGCTAATCTCCACAGAAGTGATGTGGGGTGGACACAGAGTCAAGAGCACACACTTGTACTTGATCGGGCTTTGAATCTGGTTCTGCTAACCAACTAAGTCATAATTTATCTCATCATCCCCATTCTACGCACAAGGAAGGGGAGAGGTATAGTACCTCCCTCACGTATGGACTGCATGTGAGTGGTCATTTTCCTCATCTAGGACCTGATTCTTACTCAGAATGACTAAAGAATACCAGTAGCCTCAGGAAGGACAGTTGGCAATTAAAATATTTCACCCGCGACAAAATATTTCACCAAAGACAAAAAAAAAAAAAAAAAAAAATCAAAAGTTGCTTGATTAGAGAGATGCAAATCTATGGTCCTGGAATTAAATGTTACCTCATTTGTTTGACCACGGGTTGTTGTTTTTTTTTTTTTTTTTGATTTTCTGAATTTTTTTTTTTTTTTTTTTTGAGAACAACCAGCCTGTGATTATTC